ATATGTTGAATGAAAGCTGATTTCTTGTGAGCAGTATGTGTTTTTATTTTGTCTCTGGCATAACAGTGCCAAGGCATGCTACTACATCCACTTATCTGCCACGATGCTGGTAAACAACACACACACAATGGTGATTGTAAAAGCAAGCTTAATTTTAATTTAAATGTTCAAAGTTAGTGATTATTCCTGCATACTTTTTACTTATATAAGAGGCTTCCTTGAAGATAATGGAATTACTCACATTAGTAATCGTGACTGTACTCTTTTCCAGAGTCAGTGTCTTTGAAAAGTTCCACTTACTGTTATAAAACATTGAAGATCTATCCTACAAAAAATACTCTTATTTATTCCTATCAATGCATTTCCCCAATTTGTACTTCCCTATTTACATCCCCCAAACATACAAACAAAACAAATCAACAAGTCTGATGGAGAAAACATTTTATTTTTTCCTTAAAATACTAAAAATGGAGCTTGATCTTGCAAAGCCTTATTCAGGCAACTAGTTCTTACTCATGTGAGTAGTCCTATTTGTACTGCCAAAAAGAGTAACCCAACATAATCTGAAAGAAGGACTGGGGATTAAATCACCCAGCAACAAACATATTTTCCTAGCTCAATTTTCATACAAAACATGTTAATGTTTTTTATGACAGCTTGTGGGAATCTCTCCTGTAAGCAGAAGATGGGCAAATGAAAAGGGACAGAGTTAAGAAAAGTGTTATATTCTTACCTGAAAGTTTCCAAACTCTTTGATATGTAGGTGTTTTAAATTATATGATAGTTCTCTGAAAACAGCCCGTCAATGTGCCACAGTAGTTCAAAAACTGACAGAATGTAAGGAACCATGATGAAAGGAATAAATAATAAGAAAATATTATAATGCCATTATATAAATCCATGGTACCAGGCATCCCAGTATACAAGTTGCCCTGTTATACATCCATTCTGTACTAAAGTTGCTGACACTTGTAGGAACTGATGCGTTATAAATCCTTCCATTCCGAACTCTTCATTTCAAAATAAAACAAAAAAACAATGTGCGCAAATGAAAGTCAGCCACTGGAAAAAAAATCTCCCCTTTAAGTTGTTTTGCTGTAAGTCCAAGTTTTTTGGAATGTATCTTGGACTTACAGCAAGGATAGCCTATATGCCCATACTTTGACTACTATGTGCAGTTCTGTTGTCCTGTCTCAAAAATAATATTAGTTTTGGAAAATGTACAGAGAAGGGCAACAAAAATGATTAGGGGTATGGAACAGCTTCCATACAAAGACAGATTATAAAGACTGGGGCCGGTTTACACTACAAGCTTAGGTTGACATGTTCAGTGTTAGGTCAAATTTATAACAAGTACGTCCACACTGTCTGGTCTTCCAGTTGACCTAAAAGACTTTTAAAATCGACCCCTGTATTCCACCTGACCAGAGGTGTAAAGCCTGAAGGGACATTCATGCCTCTAATTAAGGGCAGTATAAACACTGTGTATTGTAATTCATAAGTTACTGGCCTCCAGGTGGTGATCTAGCATGTGAACACTCTGGTGAGCAATTTGAATCCCAATGTTCTTTAGCCAGCTAAGCAGAAAAAGCCCCAGGAACTTTTGAATGTTCATTTCCCATTGGAGCAGCATGGAGAGCTCAATAGCACAGCTGAGCATGGATGCCCAGGATTGCAAACACCTCCAGCATGGTGCATTCAGGAGATAGTGGATCTTATTGCTGGGGTGGGGTCAGGGAGGGAAGAGAGAGAAGCTCTGTGCAAGCAGAGCTGTGAACCAGCAAAAGAAACGCTGATATCTATGTCAAAATCACATATGGCATGGTGGGTATGAGCTGGCTATACCAGGGACACACAACAATGCTGCATGAATTCAGAGAAGCTTATACACGCATACCACAGGATAAGACTGGTTCTGAGTCACAGACATGGGAGGCTGATGACATGAACCCATAACCACTTGCAACAATGTTTTCACCCTGTGAAGCACTGGGACCCTAGCCCAGAATTCCAATGTGCTGCAGGGACTGTGGGATAGATGCCCACAGTGCATTACGCCTTGCGTTGACGCAAACCCTTGCAGGGAGGATGTGCTCCACTGACCACAGCCACCTAGCGGGGATGTGCAAAATCATTTGTTAAATCTGAAAGGCAAAGTCGAATTAAATAAAATCAGCCTAATTTAGTAGTGTAGACATGCCCTGGGACTATTCATCTTAGAAAAAAAGATGACTAAAGGGTGATATGATAGAGGTCTATAAAATTATGAAAGGTATGGAGACAGAGAATCTGAGAGAGTTATTTACCCTTTGACATAACGTAAAAACTGGGCATCACCTGACGAAATTAATAGGCATCAGGTTTAAAACAAAACAAAGAAGTACTTCACACAGTGCACAATACTCTGTGAAATTTGTTGCCAGAGGATGTCATGAAGATGAAAACTATAACTAGGTTAAAATAATTAGATACATTCATGGAGGGTAGGTTGAGAAATGGCTATTACCCAAGATAGTCAGGATGGGATGCAACCCCATGCTGCAGATGTCTAAACTGCCAGAAATTGGGACTGGTCAACAGGGGATGGATCATTCAGTAATAATGCCCTATTCTGTTCATTCCCTCCAGAGTGGGGATGGGGAACCGTTTTTTTAAAATCAGGGGCCACTGACCCAAAGAAGAATCATTATGGGGCCACACAGCAGTGATAAGCAAAAACAAAACAAAACAAACCTAACATTCTCAAAACCCTCAGTGGCCTGGCCCAAAAGAAACCAACCACCCTCCCTCACTGCCATGGCTCCTGAAAAACAAAGAACCACAACCAAAGACACACTCAAGGTGCTGGGGCTCCCTTGCATCCAGCCGGCAGTGAGGCTCTGAGTCCCTCCCTCCCCCTGCAGTCTGCAGAGCCCGCGTTAGTGCTCTGGCCTCATGGAAGGATGGTAGGGGGCTGAGACAGGAAGACTACAGCAGGGCTGGAGCATTAGCACCACTTGCCCCACTGCAGGGGAAAAGAGAAGCCCCAAGCCCCATTGCATGCTGGATCAAGAGAAGCCAGGGGGCGGATCTTGCCTGTGGGCCGTATGTTTCCCATCTCTGCCCCAAAATATCTGGCAGTGGCCACAGTCAGAAGACAAGATACTGAGCTGGATGGACCTTTAGTTGGCCCAGTATGGTCATTCTTACTTTTAAAAATGGTTCTTTTTGCTTAAGAGATGCCTGCTGTATCATACAGATTAAAACCTGAATCCTGCCTGAAATGTATTGTTTGGCAAGACTCCAGACATTTGAAACCAGATTTCAAGGTGTGACTTTCTCCACTTAATACTCATTTTTGTTTTCTTTTTACACTTGTAGCGACCTTTATAGTTCCTCTGCAGCAATTGTAATGCACTATTGAATAAACTGTAAAGAAAAGAAAAAGTACAAAATTACAAGCTTCTAAAGAAAAAAGGATTAAGTTAAAGGGCCAGAAGATCACTTTGCATTGCACTACTGCATAAAGGGCCTACACAGGGTCACCTCCAAAAGAGTGATCCTTCAGTGACATGGAGCCAGCAAACCCCATCCTCCCTCTCTCCTGGCAGAGCAGCAAGGAGAAAGAAGACATGGCTTGGACATCTCTCTGCTATATGCAGATGTCTGGTCCTGTCTTCATTCCCTGGGCCCTTTGTAGCCTGTACATAGGGGCACCAAACTGCTGTAGTATAAGTAAGTGCAAAGATTATCTGTGCATACAATCCCCTATCTAAGCTGTGTGCAGCTAAATTCGACGGCATAATCAAACTATTTATCTTTATGTAACACAGTACCCATAATAAATACCTTGTCAGAGTGCTAACAGTAAGGTCAAATTACATCTCAATATTTTAGACTGAAATATGCATGACAAATACATCTAGTCAATTCATGTTCTATTTATAAAAATAATAAAAAATATGGTGTTATATCCCTAAGGTATGTACTCTCAGCTCCTGGTTATCTATATCAGGTTTATAAACTATGATCATTTCCCTTCTCACATTTACAGAGGACCAGGAAATCATGGACTAACTACTGAAAAAATACTAATGTAGTGTTCTTTGGACTCTAATCAATTTAAGAAAAAAAAAACCCTACCATAACAATATACAGTATCAAAACAGAGACATAAGTGTGACCTTCATTTCAGAGTGTAGATGTCATCCCCCTGTTACATTTCAGAAACCTAGAAATGCACATTATTTAATAGATGAATGTATCAGTAATGTATCCCACATGCTACATTTAATCTATGGCTTTTCTGAAGCATTCCATTGTATTGTATTTTTCCAACACTATGAGCGTAAGTTAGCAGCAAATATCAGCTATTGTCTTCTTGCCCAAACAAGTCAAAAATAACTAGGGCCAGATCCTCACTTGGTGTGAATAGCTGATTCACGTCCACTGAGAGGAGACAGACCTCCCTAGGTTTGGGTCTGGTTTGGGTTGCAGGCAATAAGAATGCTTTGGCTGGTTTACATTTCAGGATGCCTGGTCCAATGCATTAAAACCCTGAAAGGACAAACCAAACACACTGGGCTCCAAAGCCCAGCTGAGATGGCAATTGCAGATTTTCTTCCCATCTTCTCACAAAGTGATCAACAATAGGGGATAATATCTCAATTGCAGTACTACCCCAAGAAATACAGTCTCTGGGGACCTTTAAAGTGGGAGAGGGCAAACATCCTGTAGCAGGTATTTTCTGATTTTTTCCCAGCCAGGAGTCAATACAGGACACCTGGAAACCCTACACACACACAGCAACTGGGCCCAGCTTCTCCTCCCCCACCCTCTGCTTACCTGGAGTAGGGAGACAAGATGGCCACCCAGCCTGTTCTTAAAGGGGCCATGCTGGGTTTTTTTGCTCAACAACTTTGGTCTCCTCCCTTTTTTTTCCTCAATAGAATTTTTCCCCCGGTGGGTTTTTTTTGGGGGGGGTAGGGGAGAAGGCCTGGGTTTTTTTTTTTTTTGGGGGGGGGCGGGGGTAGGGGAGAAGGCCTGTTTGGCATTTTTGGTTAAGCCATCTGGCAACCCTAGTTATGTGCAAAATTTAGCCACGCTGTAAAATTAAAGTTGCTTCAGAGATACTTTAAAATAATGTTCTAGATGGTCTAAAACACAACTGTCCAGCAGAATTCCCTAACAATTACATTGGCATCTGTAACAACAATTGTCAAACATTTGGCAAAGACCAATACGCTTAGAACTTCTTTTTGCTGGTCAGTCCACTGATAAACAAAACAGAATGCAGCACTGCATGAGCCCTGTTTTTAAAACAGTTTCAGTCTAAGTTCTGTTGTTCAGTTGTACTTTGACAGTCATGTAAATTACTTCTGGTCATGATCAATTACCTCAGTACATTCATCCTATTATCTCAGGAGCCAGCATTACTGACTCAGAAAACATTCTGCATACATCTTAACAGAACTCTCCTCATTTGTATCTAACTTTGCTTTATAGTTGTATCAACTGGTTTTTAACCTACAAAAATAGAGAAAAATCTAGTTGAAAGATGCCTTGTTTTTTTCTTTGCACTGGGAAAATATATCTTCACGAGTGTAGCATGTGCAGTCACATCTCTGTTAGGCATGGCTGTGCTGTAGACCAAAGCAGGGTGGCACTTGTCATCTGTTGCTGTAGCTATTTGCCTCAGTGGGCAATATTTCTACATCCTGATGGTCTAATTCTCCAGACACAGAATAAGCTATTGCTCCATTTGTCCAAATCTGCTGTTTTGTGTCAGTATTTCTGGTAAGTGACCTCAAATGTGTCTTTTTGATTTTCTTTGCTATCCTGGCAAAGCACAGTAATGTTGAACTGAATATCATAGAAAATCCACACAGAATGAAAGATGCCGTGTAGCTGCCAGTTGTATCTACCAGCCAACCTATTGGAAAACAAATAATTTTTAAGGCATTGAACAGTTTACAAACCTGTTGTATAACATTCGTACTGCAGTTTTATCACATACATTGGTAATTAAGCAATAGGCATATACAGCTGAAATAAACAAATATCTTACATAATGATCTCATCTCGCTTAGCTCAAGTTTTTAGAGGCTTTTGTTCAGAACATAACCCCATCACAAAAGGACACTATTTTTCCCTCTAATCCTCTAAATACATCCTCTGAAAGCACTGATTTAGCTGACAGTTTGAAAATGTGCTCAGAGCAATGGCAGTAAATGCTATTCTATGAATGAGGTCCCCAAACAGAAACATAGCCTGGGCTTGTGTAGCACTTGAAAAATTCTTTTTTTTTTCCCCCAGTGACAAATCCAATTAAAAAGCATCAAAAGCAGAGGTGAATTTGAATCTGGAATGTACAGCAAATACAAAATGAAAGACATACGTATACTGTACTATGGCTATTCAAGCAAGGTAATGTGAATGGTTGATCTTCCCACATCACCATCACTCAAACCTGATATAAATCCTTTCTGTGGAATGACCAGGACATCATTGTCCTAGTTCCTACTTCATATTTGAAGCCAGCTAAACTGACAGGAGATATAGTGTTCAGATATGGTGATGATCAGGGTTACTTCAGAACACAATTTAACAGACTATTGCCCAGTCATGCTAAAGAAATTCAACAATAAACCCCACTGCCTAATCCAAGCCCCCTTTCCAGATGGAAAAAGCTCTCTGGACCCTAATGTCTGCAGAAGACTCTCCTATGATTAAAACTCAAGGGTTATTTAATTTTACAGCAAAAGAAACATTTTGGTGCTTTTTATATTGCTTAACTAAATGAAACAATTCAATAACAATGTGCTGCATTATTTCATTGCATGTCCCTTAATTTCTGTTTGTTTTTAGCATGCAGAATTCACTCCGTCAAAACAGGGCTTAAGTGGGACCCAAGTGGTGCGTAGGCCATGCCCTCTGCTCAGGGCTCAAGTGTACTCAAATGCTGTTTGTTTATTTTCCTTTCTCTTTTCCATTATTTACTGCTAAGGCCCACGTGAATTTTACATTGAATTTAGAAAACAGCTAAGCCACAGGGATCTTTTCCTCACCAACACAATGAAAACATCAGAAAGAGGTTACTTTGATCAGTCACAAAGGAAGAGCACATTGAGACTGTGAATAATATTTGAAAATGTTATAGAAACACACAAACGAAGGAGCAAAGCCACACTAAAGGATGTGCACTTAATTACCGTGGGCTGCAAATATTATAGGGTGGGGCCAGCCCCGCATCACCCTGCCCAGATTCCATTCATCTGGTGCTTTGGGGCTGGAGGGCTTCAGTGGGGGAGAGGGAATGGGGAGCAGGGCCTTAGGCAGAAGGATGTTGCAGGCCAAGGGCTAAGGTCCCCATACCCGTGGTTCACTCACTGCCCGTTAACTACTAATCTTCCTTGTTCTCACCCAGCTTTGTTACCCCCTTTCCAAGATTGGAGGAGGACTGTTGTTTCTAATAGGAGCCAGATGCTCTCCTCTGCTTCAACTGTTTTCTTTTCTTACCAAAATTTGTCATGGATGCCTTTGTGGTGGGAGGGTCCCAGTGCTGGATGTACAATGATGCTGCCAGTGGCACCATGGAACTGGGACCAAGTTCAGAAGGGACCCTGGCCTGCTCTGAAACTGCTGCCGTTGGCTGGCTCCTCCCCGCACTGTCCATCACCTACTCCTCTCAGCCTGGCCCCTGGCAGGCTAACAGCTTCTCTCCTCATCCACTGGCTTCTCTCTGCCTTCTGACTGGACCCCCATGCACCTTTGGCTCCGGCCAATCTCCACTTCCCACCTTCTGTCTCCCTGGAGCTCAGCCATGTGGGACTGGTACAGAAGCCTGGCAAGTCTTTGCCAATTTGGGAGGTGGGCAGTGTGAGGGGCTTTGTTCAACTCCTCCACACAAGAGGGAGCCTGGCCAGGGCAGGCCTGGCCTGGCTGATCACACCATCTCCAAGGGGGCATGTCATTCCTACCTCTAGCAGCACTGGTGGCTCAGCCCAGCAGACATGTCCCAGAGGCCAGTAAGTGCAGCCAGGGCAGTGCATCGGGGAATGGGTTTCTGGAGTGCTTGAGTGCAAGTGCTGGGCTGCGAGAGAGCAGGGAAGATCTGTGTGTGGAGCATTAGGGACTGAGGTTCTGTGAGGGATGCTGGGCAATTGTAGGAGGGCTGTCTTGGGCAGGGTGGTGATATGCAGGGCACTGTGCAATTGTGGCAGAGACTGGGGAAGGTGCTGGGCATAACAGATCCGGAGGCAGGTCTTTGGTGTCAGGCGGGCTGGGGGAGATGTGTGGCACAGCATGGGGTATGTTGACAGCACAGGGCACTCCCAGCCTTTGTGCATCTAGCAACTGCTAGTTTGTAAATAGCACCCTTGCACTGGGCTGAGTGGAGCAGGGCCATCCCTGTCATGCCATGCCCCTGGCCAGCCCCTCAGTATGGGGACCAAACCTCCCATGCTATGCTCCATTGTCCCCCATAAGGACTCACAAATATGTTTGGCACAGGGCCCACAAGAGGTTAATCCAATCCTGGTCCCAAAGTCCAGAATGGCAGCCTGAGTCCAAACATCTACACAGCAATTAAACAGTCCCTTAGCCTAAACCCCACAAGCCCAGGTTAACTGGGATGGGCCAGCTGTGGGTTTTTAATTGCAGCGGAGACATACCCTGCGAGGGCCATGTTGTTAGGCCTATGGGGATGAATCTACATGGACGTCCTGACCTTCACTAGAGTCATATCAGGATTGTCTGTGGCTCTTCATGTCATTTGGGTGAATGTGATCACAAAAGGAGAGGTTGCATGATTCTAAGGAAAGGAAGGAGTCAGAGCAGTGGAATAGGGACAACTGACTTCAAAAAAGTAGACTTTACCATGCTCAGAGAACTGATAGGTAAGGTTCCATGGGAAGAAAATCTCAGGGGAAAAGGAGTTCTGGAGAGCTGGAAGTTTCAGGAAGAGTAATATTAAAGGGACAAGATCTAACTACCCCGATGTGCAGAAAGGGGCCAATATGGCTCCATGAGGAGCCATCAGTGACCTGAACATCAAACAGAATCCTGCTAAAAGTGGAAGCAGGCACCTTGCTAAGGAGGGATACAAAATAATAGCACAAGCACATGGCAGGGGTGGGCAAAAAGTGGCCTGCGGGCTAACACAGTTCACCAAGGTTAGCCCCTGGCAAGCAGCCAGACACTGTTCACAGGCATGGCCATGGGCAGCTCCCATTGGCTGAGAATTGCTGTTCACCACCATGGGGATTGTACGGAGTGGTACAGGCCAGGCCATCGCTTCCAGTAGCTCTCATTGGCTAGGAATGGAAAACCGCAGCCAACGGGAGCTGTGAGCAGCTGTACCTGGAGATGCTCAGGGAAACAAAGAATCTGGCAGTTCACCAGGGCCTAACCCCTGAGACGCGTGTCTGGCCTGTGAGCCACTTATTGCAATAGAAAGAGATTCTATCTATCTATCTATCTATCTATCTATCTATCTATCTATCTATCTATCTAACAGGAGAAAGATGAAGGACAGAGTAGGTTCTCTATTTAATGGGACTAGTGTGCTAACAATAGAGGACTTCAAGAAGGCTGATATATTTAATGCCTATTTTGCTTCAGTCTTCACTAAAAGGCAAACTTTGACCAGATACTTGACATAATAAATATTAACAAACAGGTGGAAAGAACACAAAGCAAAATAGGAAAAGATTAGGTTAAAGAAGGTTTATATTTAGATTTGGCTAAATGCAAATGAATACATCAAGGAACAAAGAATGTAAGCCATACTTGGGAATCATGTTAGATAATCAGCTGAACATGAATTCCCTGAGTGCCACTATACCCAATTAAAAAAAATGGCTAATGTGATACAGAAACAGAGGAATCTCAAGTAGTAGTAGAAAGGTTATTTTACCTCAGTATTTGACATTGTTTGACCACAGCTGGAATATTATGTCCAGTTTTGGTGTCCACAATTCAAGAAAGATACTGATAAATAGGAGAGGGATGAGAGAAGAGCCATGAGAATGATTAACAGATTAGAAAACTGTTTTATAAAGACAGATTCAAGAAGCTCTATCTATTTAGCTTAACAAAGAGAAGGTTAAGGGGTAACTTGGTTGACATTAGACATATTCAGATAGAAGTACTTTTTTAATAGTGAGGGTAATTAACCACTGGAATAATTTACTAAGTGTTGTGGTAGATTCTTCCCTAATTTTTAAATCAAGATTGGGAGGTCTTGTTTTCTAAACTATATGGTCTAGGAATTATTTTGGGGAAGTTCTATGGTTTGTGTGATATAGGAGACTAGACTAGACAATTATAATGGCTGCTTCTGGCTTTGGAATCTATAAATCTAGATAAATTAGATACATTCAAGTCAGCAGGGCCTGACAAAATTAATGCAAGAGTATTGAGGAACTATCTGTGCAATCTCAGGACCATTAGCAATTATCTTTAAGAACTCATGGAGGATGAGTGAAGTCACAGAAGACTGGGGAAGGGCTAACACAACAGCGATCTATAAAAAGGAGAAGAAAGAGGACCTGGAGAATTGTGGTTAGACACTAGAGCAAAATATGAAACAGTCGATTTGTAAGTACCTAGATAACAGGATTATAAGGAATAGCTAACATGAATGTGTCAAGAACATATCTTGCCAAATCAACCTTATTTTCTTCTTTGACAAGACTAATGACCTTGTGGGAAGCGGGAGAGAAGTTGTAGATGTGATATGTGTTGGTTTTAGCAAGGTTTTTGACATAGCCTCACGTGACATTTTCATAAGCCAGCTAGGAGATGTGTGCTCAAGATTAAATTACTATAAAATGGGTGCAAAACTAATTGAAAGATGTTAATCAAAGAGAAGTTATAAATGTTTTTTGTCAAACTTGTGGGGTTCTTATTCTGTGTCCAATACTATTAAATATTTTCATTAATGACATGGATAATGGAGTGGAGAGTGTGCTTAGAAAATTTGCAGATGACACCAAGCTGGAATTGCAAGCACTTTGGAGAACAGGAATAGAATTTGAAACAAATTTGGCAAATCGATCTGATTTCAACAAGAGATGTGCAAGGTATTCTACTGGCGAAGGAAAAAACAAAGGCTCAGTTATGAAATAGGGAATAACTGGCTAGGCACTAATACTGCTGGAAAGAATTTGAGAGTTATAGTGGATGACAAGCTGAATAAGAGTCAACAATGTTTTGCAATGGGGAAAAAAGGCTATTATGATTTTGGGCTGTATTAACAGAAGTGATATGTGTAAAACATGAGAGGTTAATTGTCCCACTGTTCAGTGCTGGTAAGCCCTTAGCTGGGGCCCTACCTCCAGCTGGGTGCCATGCTTGGAGAGATGAGCAACAAAAATGATCAAAGGTTTAGAAAACCAGACCTGTGAGGAGGGGGAAAAAGACTAACGGGGTCCTGGTACCAGTCCCCAAATATGTTAAAAGGCCTTTATGACAATGATGGTGATCAATTGTTCTCCGTGTCCACTGAGGCTAGGACCAAAAGTAATGGGCTTAATTTGCAGCAAGGGAGATTTTTGGTAGAGAGCAGAAAAAAATTTCTCACGATATGGGTATGCACTGGAATAGGCTTCCAAGGCAGGTTGTGGAACCCCCATCACTGGAGGTTTTTAACAACAGGTTGTTCAAACACCTGTCAGGGATGCTCTGGGTGTATATGGTCCTGCCTCAGCACAGGGGGCTAGACGAACTGACCTCAGGTCCCTTCCAATGCTACATTTCTATGATTTTAGGATATGTATTTACAGCCTTTAATGCATTTTTCCACAAAAGTGGATAATTTTGACAGCTGTACTTTAGTGATAGGCAACATTTTCTAGAACTTGATTTTTTAATGACATTTTTCAGCTGTGTTTGAAGTGTCTATGAAACATATGGGAAAAAATTTCCACACAAAATTACCTCCCATGTTTGACCAATTCTAGATCACTAATAAACAGCTCTGCTTTTGTCAGAAAGAAAATCTGAGTGGTACAATATGAACAGTACAACAGAGTCATCTGTGAACTGACCTGCAATAGGTGGACTCACTAGGTAAGGGACTGCATGAAGAAAATACACTACACCTAGAGCTGATGATAAGGAAGCAGTTCCCACTACATCTGCTGTCACGACGGGGATCAGTGTAACATAGGCTCCATCAAAATACCCAAAAGTAAATGAGAATGGCACAAGCAAAGGGAAACTTTGGAGAACGGGAAGGAAGAGACAACAGAGGCCATCCATTCCCACAGCAAAGAGGTAGCAAACATGGCGGTACTTCTTCAGACACCTGTGGGGTTTAAAAACAGGAAGGATACATCAGTTATGTACTTCTTCTTTGCTTTTGTTCACTTCCAGATCTATTAATTCACCATTTGCTGTGTCCTGGGATATTTTCTGTGTTAATGTGCTCCCTGTCTTTTCTGTGCTGCACAGTTTTAAAGTCCAGCTTAGCACATAGAGTTTTCTGGGTGCAAAACCTAGCCAGTTTTAAGGGTGTAAATACTGTGCTGGATTGACAATTCTGGATAATGACATTCTCCATCTATCCATCAAACATACTCTAGAGACAGCAGTGCACGTTTTCCTCCACTATGCATGTGCCTCAGTTTTCCTCACGACTACCCTTGGTGGAGTGAAGGTAGTTCTACCTATGGGCCAATTCAACTCTTGGTCTCTGCTTTAAAACATTATCTTTAACATAAATTCTTCTGTATTTATATTTAATCTCACTAAGACAGTTCCCAATATTTTGCAGAAATAAAATACATGGCCTTCCTCCCCCTGCTCACTTTTACTGGTGTTAATAAGGACTGATACAATAATCCTAATGTTAAAAGTGGTGAAAGTAAGAGGAGAATCAAATCCACAATTTGAATTGATTCATTACAATAATCCTAATGTTAAAAGTGGTGAAAGTGAGAGGAGGATCAAATCCACAATTTGCATTGATTCAAATATTCAATGTACTGAAAATGTATGATGACTGAAATGTCTCTACTGCCCCACTCACCTGATCTTCACCACCGGTATTAATGAAATTACATACAACAAAATGTCAAGATAAAGTAAAGGTAACAAAATGTAGGTAAGCACTAAAACATCAGGAAATGCAGAAGTTAGTATTCACATACAACCTTAACTCTGCCCTACTGTGCTTCAGCATTACAATACTGGGCCAGCTCCTCCATCCCTTTTGTGCCACTACAGCAGCATAAATGAGAGCACTAAAACATCAGGAAATGCAGAAGTTAGTATTCACATACAACCTTAACTCTGCCCTACTGTGCTTCAGCATTACAATACCGGGTCAGATCCTCCATCCCTTTTATGCCACTACAGCAGCATAAATGAAACAGAAAGGCAGAAGTAGTAGACTCACAGCCTCTACAGAGCGGGCTCAGAGGTAATACTTACTATGCACTGAACAATGAGTGACATTTACAATGTAGACAATGGCAACTTTAATCATTTCTAAAAATTCAAATTAAAAATGTAAGTTAACTCAAAGATGAAAAAATGAGCATTTCTTAACACTATATAAATACCATAAATTGAGCTCATCTATTGGAAAAATAATACAAGCCATTTGTAATACCCTCAAAATGTATGTTAGCAAGCTTTACACCCACTATCCCACACACAAAGCTTATAAGTAGTATGCTATCTATCATTACCTTCTGTCTGTCAACCATCCAAAGGTGATATTACCAATAATATCGATGACACCAAGTATGGACATAAGGAAGGCAGCCTGCTGATGACTCACCCCCACACTCAAAGCATAAGGCACTAGGTAGACAAAAAGAGGGCTACAGCCATATGCCATAAATAAAACAGACACTGCTAGCACCAGGAAGTTTGGCATCAGTAAGAAGTTGTATTCTTGCCAGGAACAACGACACAGACGTTCATGGGACCATGCTCTGATTAAAGGTGAACAGATGGAAAATTGCTTTAAGTCTTGCTTCTGTGCTTCTGAGACATATTCCTGTTCAAGAAACTCAGGAGGGTTTTTATGGTCCTCCTGAAGAGCAATAGGCCTCATCAGGGCACCACAGACACAGAGATTTAAAACAAAACCGCCCAGGATGAGTAAAGCTCCACGCCAGGAAAACTGTTCAATCAAGAGTTGGACCACAGGGGCCAGAATGAAGGTGCCGATTCCGCTCCCTGACATGGCTATCCCATATGCCAGGGCTTTTCTTTTGTTGAAATATTTGCCCACCATTGCTATGGCCGGAGAATAACAAAGTGCAAATCCAACTCCTAGGGGAAAAAAGTGGAATGAAGGCTGTTTAATACCGAATACAGGTAATAGGATATATCACAGTCAACCAAGTTACTCACTCCCATCAGCACTACTCATCAAGATGCACGTTGCAGATTATCACTATCAATTTCATGGCTGCGAAAAACATGTCATGGACCGTGAAATCAGCTGTGCCCCTTGAAATGTGACCTCCCCAAAATCAGCCAGGCTGGGGAGGGATTGGTCTTGTCCTTCTCCTGTGTGATTGTTATGGGGAGAGATCAGACTCACCTCCGTAGGCAGATTGGTACAACCTCTCTTCTGCACTGCAGCAGCCCCAGAGCTGGGCTCCAGACTGCCTCCCTCATAGCTCTGGTTGGGGCTCAGGGCACCCAAGCTCCTTCTTCCCCCTGGCTCCTTCCCAGGCTGCTGCTCCCTCCCCACCCCTGCAGCTCCAGATGGGGCTGGTCAGGCACCAACTGGGGCTTGGGGCTTCTACCTCCCATGGCACCTGCCTAGTCTTACAGAGCTTGGCTGGGGGTGCCAACCTGCAGCTTCCACCCAGTTCAGGGCTGCTCCTCCCACTATGGCTCTAATTCAGGCTTCGGATGTCCAAGCTTTGGGGCTCCCACTTCCTCTCTCCCCAGCTTCTGACCAGGCTGCTGCTGCTCCCTCCCCAGCCCTAAGGCTCCTGACAAGACTGCAGGTCACCTAGGCTAGTGTTGGGGATCTGGGACCTGAGCTTGGGACTGCCACCTCCTACAGCTCCTGCCTGCCTTGTGGAGGCCTCCCTGTGGCTCCCGCTGGGGCTTGGGCTGCCCAGGCTCAGGCTGCAGCCCCCAACAGCTCCTGCCAGCCTCTGGGCTGCCCAGGCTTGGGGCTTCTGCCCCCTTCTGGCTCCTGCTGGGGCTTAGGGCTTCCATCCCTTTGCTTCTGCCTGTTAACATTTCTTCAAAGTGTCCAGGTCCTGCTGGCAGCAGTTCCAGGGCCCGGGCAGAACAGTCAATGACAGGGGAAGTGAGTTGTATGGGCCCATGGTGCCAGACACCACCCATGTCGGGCCCCCAGGGCCCAGCTCTACCAACGTTGGGGCTGGGTCTCTCCCCGGCCCTGTCTGCCACCTCTGCACACCTCCCCCAGAGTGTCCCTTGGCCCCACCTGCCAGCCCCGCAGACACCTCCTCTAGCTGCCCTATCTTACTTGCTCCCAGGCCCCCTGCACTCCCTCACCAGCTACTGACATTGCAGACTGTCTGTAAGGGGTTGGGCCCAGCAGCTGGCTGACTGCTGGGTCTGCTGAGGAAGGAGGGGGGTAGTCCTCTTTCTCCAAGGCAGCCTGCATCCCCCAACCCCTCCTTCCTGGCCTCACCCCAGAGCCCACACCCCCAACTAGAGCCCTCACTCCCCCAACCCCAACTCTCTGTCCCACCTGTAAGCCCTTCCCATACCCTGAATCTCTTTGCTGCAGCCACACCCCAGAGACAGAGACAAAAACCCCGTCTGACCCTTACAAGGCAGGTGTGAGGGGGATGGTACCACCAAACATTCTGCAAACCTGATGCCTGGTCAATGGGCCCCCATGTATGCACAGCCATGCCCACACGGACGTGATCCACATGATATTTGGGCAGTAATTGCTCTGAGGGGGAATTTGAATGTGGGATGGGGTGAGGGGCTGGTTTCAGGGAGGAAGTTTGGAAGCAGAGTACAGGTCCTGGGCCGGGACAGGTTTGGGGTGCTAGAGAGGTCAGAGTGGAGGTGCTTTCCTAGGGCAATTCCCCAAATGCAACTATCACATCACTCTGGCAGTAGCTCATAGGCAGGTGGAGCTAAGAGATCTCCACATGTGGCTGCCAATGGATACTGCCCCCACAGCTCCCATTGGCTGCAGTTGCTGACCAATGGGAGATGCAGAGCTGGCACTCAGGGCAGGGGTAGTACACAGAGACCCCAACCCAGGTGCCACAGGAATGGTGCTGGCTCATTGCTTCTGGGAACAGCATGGAGTAAAACTGCCTTAGTCATTCTGTGCTGGCAGCAGTGGTAGCTGGTGCTAGGGCTCTTCTAAATTTCCCCTCCACATGGGCAATTGCCCCCTTTGCCTCAATGTCTCCTATCAGTAAGCCTGCCCTGGACACAGGACTGAAGGGCTGCTGTGCTAATGCACCACTGGCCCTAATTAGCAGGTGGGGTGCTCCTAGCCATACTGGGGAGATCAGACCCACCTCCACCTCTGAGCTCCCTTCCAGCTACAGGAAACTCCACAACTGCTGCCTTTGGAGCTGGACTCTGTAGGCAACACAGAAGTGAGTACGGCAATTTTGCAACCCCTCTACAACAGCTTTAGGGCCTCCCCTGCCCCCACAATCTCCTTTTGGATCAGAACCCCCACGGCTACAACACCATGACATCTCAGATGTAAAAATCTGAAATACTGAAACTGACCAATTTTAATACCCTGTGGCCATGAAATTGATCAGAGTTAGCTGTGACTTGGGTAGGGCCCTAATGATCACATTTTGCAGTTCTGTGAGTATGGGATAAAAACATGAAAAAACAAACCCAGAAACGCTGAGTCAAACAAATACCTAGAATTGAAACTCACTAATCTGTACCAATGCAGAGGCTCAGTGAGGACTGATAAGTTTTGTGTACGAACATGTCCCCAGGCTAGACAGGAGCATAACACTGTCGGCCAGTTATTAGTGCCTGGCCCCATACCCAGGCCTCACTGAGTGCCAGGGGATGATTCCCGCTTATATTGTGGGGGTCATTCCATCAGGCACATTTGTCCCACAGTCATTCCTCAGTGTTATGCTCAGCAACAAACCTAAACATTGATTTTCAGGGCAGATCTGAGCATTCGTAGATCTCTGAAGGATGGTGGAGGGACAATCTGTCTACTCCAAAATATTCTACACAAAACTTTCTTTGACAAGATGAAATTTTGCATTTCATCTGGCTGGAGCTGGGAGCAGTTTTAAGTCCCTGGGAAAAAGCCCTTATTCAAGGTGATATATCCACTTTCAGAACCAAGATTAATAAGGTTCAGAATAAGATGCCATTCCTATTTAGCAGATTAATTAGATTCAGCTGAGTAGGGAACAGTCATGAATTTTGCTACAAAGCTTCTAAGGACAGATGCACAAGAATCAGATGTTGGCATCAGTGCCAATGTTTTTGCAGACATTTCTGAATCAGGCACAGAACCGTACTCTAGGCATTTTGAAATAAATTGCACCCTAAGTTACACAAGTACCTCTCCATTGCCTTTGGGAGATTCTCAGCTGTAAGTGTAGCAGGCTACATACTGGCCTGAAACATTGCACCCTGTTAGCGGGTGCTGATGGTGCTGGGAGAGGGCTAAATAGATTAAAGGAATGCACTGAGACCAGCAGCTTGTTACATCACCCAGACATAAGAGAGAGGAAGAGTACTAGGGTGTCTGGAGGCAGGACCTGTGGGTTTTTTGTGTGTGGGGGGGACTTAGGGTGTCTGGAGGCAGGACCTGTGGGTTTTTTGTGGGGGACGGGAAGGTGAACTGAACTTTATGTTCTCTTATTATTTCTTTGTAAATAAGGCCAAACCCCAGAAAGGGCAGTGAATTTTGACACTACAAAGTAAGTGTTGCTGTCTGGCCTCTAGGTTTTGGGTGAGCTACACCATCAGTACTACCAGCCCTATTATTAATCCATTTCTTCCCTGCTTACTCCTTGCAGACTAAATTTGCTGCTTGTGAAATGGACTGTCTACAACTTAGCGTACACTTCTTCATTGCAGTACTGATAACAGCTCTCGACAAGGAAGCCTCAGAGGCAGTAGGAGAGTATGTGACGTGGTGCTGTGGGTTACAAGGGACCTTTTTATTTGTTACAAACACATTGGACAAAGATTAACATTGTAATGCAGAAGCAACACACACTGTAACAAGGACATTTTTTTTCTGAGCAAATAAGCTGTTGGCAGCACAGAGTATAGTCATTCTACCAACTCAACGGCAGGGGACCAAGTACAAGGCTTATATCACCGTGGCTACCGTGGCAGTTTTAATGAGGCAGGAATCTCAGTATAACTATTGCAAACCTTTCTTTTGTGTACCAACTACAGAGAAGCAGGACAGACTGAGGGCATTCTTTTAACACTGGCTGAACTGAAAGGGAGGATGCATTAGCATAATGCATTCAACGGAGGATTTGTGCTTCTAACCTGAATGTAGAGCTGGCAGAAATAAGCTGTGCAATGGTGACTTAAGAAACCCTCATTTATTAATCATTATCTTGATTTAAATAACATGCAATAACCAGTGCAAAGCTCTGTCTGTCTTGACCTATCATTTATATTGCAACAAATCCCCAAAAACCTCAAACCAAAAGGAACAGTAACTTACCAACACAAACAAGCGAACAATTTTCTCTCTCACACTCCTATCCCCTGGGAAGTTTAACATTTGCTGCTAGGAAGGTCACTATAGCTGGGTCTATTTCAGATCAGGAGGAAGTACTAGAGGCCTGGAGCCCTCCCAGAGAATTCCCAACAAGCTTGCCACTCTTTTATAACAAGTGGGCTCTGGCTTGAGAGCCTCTGCTGACTGGCGCTAGGGCAGTGACAGTGGGACAGTGGTGATCCCCCAGGTGTTAAGATCATGGCTGAGGCAAACATTATGAATCCCTCCTACCTGTAAGCACGCCTAATGAAAAGTAGAGGTGTCCCAGGCTTGTGGCAAATGAGCTCAGGATCAGTCCGGCAGATGCAAGAAGTCCTCCAAGCATGATGCCCACTTGACACGATACATGGTTACTGATAAAACTTCCCAGTGGGGCTTCAAAAACAAGGAAGGCAGTTAGTGAGCAGCGTGCACGCCTCTGCACTTCACCACCGCAGGGTCCAGGCTTGGGCGCACCAGACAGCAACAAAACCAGACAGACAAGAGAAAAACATTGATCTGCTGCTGCAGCTAATTGGAATGACATTTCAGATTCACCTACCTCACATTGTGGTGGTGGTGACCTCCTCAAGAGCCCTTTCGAATGTTTCCCTTTTCCATTAAATCAGGCCAATAGCTATTTAAAATCAGTCAATACTATTATGAGACAAAGCTGTTTTTTCAAGTAATAGGGGCAAAGGAGGCAAAGCCAATAGCTAGGTTAGGAGCATTTTGTTCATTAACATGTTGTTATGGCTGCAATAAACCTGCTAACTCTGGAATGTGTACTGCTACTCAATAGAAAGATGTCCCTTTTGCCTCATCATTGAAGGACTTAGAACATGTAAGTTGTACAAATTATATATATATATATATATATATATATATCATAGGAATAGGATGACCTAGAAATATTAAAGTTAAAATCCCTTCACACACGAAGAGCAGTGTGGAGTGTCAAAGTCCAGCTTCACCCATTGGAAGTACAAATCCTAGAAACCTTTGTGCTCTTCTCCCTACCTACTTACAATTCCCTTAGAATTTCAAGTAGAAAACTTTGTCCTCACATCTTTGCCTGTCAGATGTGGTGTACGTGGTGCAGAGGTGTCTGGCAGCCTTTTAGGCCCCGATCCAGGAATGCAATAAATACAGGCAGACCACTTTCCCTGCAATATGGGGGGTAGAGGATCAGAACCTAACTTTGCATAGTATGTTGCAGATCTTTAAATGATATCCAAGAAGTTAGCAGTAAGTCCAGAACTGAATGAGGGTCCAGAGGAATGTTTCAGAAGAAAACACAAATGACATTCGCTCACAGAGAAGTTCAGTGAAGGGAGGCAGTGGCTGTGATTTGAACCAAAGGAACTAGGAAACACAGAGTCATATCTGAATTGTAACTACAAAATACTAGGCAAAATAAGTCCTAGTGGGAAATCTCTTAAACCATGATCTTTCCCATTAGATCTTTCCACAAAACAGTTCTTAAAACACACATCACTTCCCAATAAAATAGTCTGTTTCTTTTCAGTATCAGACAAAACGGTAGGAAGAAACCCCCTCCTTGCTGAACTTTACAGCAGGATACAGCTTGGACATACTATGCTCATTTGGCTACAAAACCAAATGTGTGGAACAAAAGCCAGCCTGAAAAGCCAGAAATTTTCCACATTGGCTCTGATGACTTGTGAATACACTGATATCAGGTGTCCCCTAGGACTAAAGAACAAACCAGTTTATTATTCAGAGAGGGCAATACCCACCACACAGCATTGTGGCACAGTCGGCAATGGAATGGATCCAAGCTGTTCGGGCGTAATCCTGAGCAAAGTATGTCTGGAACTCCACAAAGAAAATTGAGATGCATCTAGGAAAGAAAACACAAATACCGATCTGTTAAATTCAAGGCTAAACGGTACCTGGCTCGGGCCTGTTCCAAATCCTATGAAAGTCTGCGCAAAGATTCCCATTGACTTCCAAGAGAAATGCACTGGGTCATTAAACATCTGAAAAATGGAAACTATCTGGATGCACAGGAAATAATGACAAATGAAAATGTGGCACATGGGATGGATAGTTCATGTGGCTGGCTCACATCTGTCTAGCTGAACCAGAGAAGACCAAATGAGACAAGGACAGAGGAGTTACAGAATGGTCACCAAGTACGATTGCAATAGTCACAGTGGGATTAGTCAGATCAGGTTAATCCCTCAAGGACAAGGAAGACATTTCTTTTCACAAGGACAGACAATCCTTAAAAAGACAAACAATTCTCTTGCCCTCTTTTATTCTAACCTCCCATAAATGGTTTTCCTGTTCCTACACTCTCAGCCCCAAAGCGGAGGGCCCGCGGGGTCAGAGAGCGCAGGGCACGCTGGCCTCACGGCGGCCTCCCTGCACTCACCAGCAGAGATGGGGGGAAGCGAAGCAATGCAGCTCCACTCCCCAGCTGCCAGCCTCATTGCTCTGCTTCCCACTGATGAGCACAGGGCAGTGGTGTCACCCCTGTCCTGAGTGAGGTGGCAGGAGAGGCTGCTTTGCTCTGCTTCCCCTCCTCCCTTCCCCCACTGCTGCCAGTGAGTGCAGGGGAGGTCTGAATCCTTGCTGTGGGCTCCTGGACCCCTACCCCTCATGCCCATGCTTTTGGAGGGGGGTCACGTACCTCCTTGCCATCCTCATATGTTGCCCTTGAGGCGAGGTAGCAAACATCTATCAACAGCCATTGTCCAGCAAGAGAGCATAATGCAATGACTTACCTGCATGAGTCCCTACCAGGGGAACTACTCAGTTTTCCCTGAGACTCAGACTAAATCTGCGCCAGTACTTTTCTGCACTGCAACTTTCTGCCTCTGGGGTGTGAAAAAACATCCCCCCTCCCAGTGCAACTCATTACTACTTCCCTTGTGGAGCTGATTGACACAGAACACTAGGAGAGCTCCCCCACACTTCTGCCTGGCCACACTTTCATTTTGAAGCCCTGCCAAGGCTGCTCTTTAATTTTGGAAGTGTAGAGAAAGCCTCAGCAATGCCCCAGACGTGCCTGGACATGTGATCGATCACCCAGCACATGGGACTGAGGGCATAAAAACCAAGCACAGGGGCCCATGCTTTGCCCTTCTCCTGCCCCTCCATGCTGCAAGCAGCAAGCACATTCTGAAGATTTCAATAAGAAGTGGCTTAGCTTTCCAAGGAGAAAGCCACCTACTATGGACTGCAATATCCAGTGGGGTGAGAGAAACTGCTTTATCCAGATGTTGCCCAGTCTAATAGGTTTTAGCGTTTCGACTGCGTGTTTATATTTTCTTTTGGTAACTACTCTGACATTTTGCCTAACATTTATAGCCACTTAAATTCTATCTTTGTAATTAATAAACTTCTTTTATTGTTTACCTTTACCAGTGAGTTGGTATGAAAAGCGCGGCAAATCTGCTCATGTTTTATAACCGCTGCTATATGTCCACTTTCTGCTGAGGAAGTGGTGAACCCATTAATAAATTAGATGGCATAATCCTGAAGTACAGTGCTAGGTGCTAGAGGGATTTGGCTCAGGTGCTCTGGGAGCATTCAGGCAAGCTGGATGAGTGTTGGGCTCCACATGCGGTTGTGCTGAGTGATAACGTCGACGAGAGGGTTTGCTGATGACTGCTAGCAAGGCTCTGTAAGAGACAGCCCAGGCTGGAGAGAGTTAAGGTGGTACAGTTTTCTCACAGCCCCAGGCTGCACCCCAGGGGCAGTGTTCCCTCTAATTTCTCCCACCCCTGAGTGGAATGAATTTTCATTACAGGCACCAATATGGAGGTGACATGTGACATGGAGGTGATGTGCGATGCATCACCCACCCCTGAGTGGAATGAATTTTCATTATGGGTACCAATATGGAGGTGACGTGTGACATGGAGGTGATGCGCGATGCATCACTTTCGTATTGGTGCCCATAACAAAATTCATGGGGTAGGAGTGATCCCAAGAGGTCCTGAGTGTGGGAGGGGGCTCAGAGCTGGGGCAGAAGATTGGGGTGCAAGTGCACTGGCTGGGGGGTGAAGGTGAGGAGCTGCTAATGTGGGGAGGGGCTCAGGACTGCAAGAGAGGCTACAGGCTCTGGGTTCAGGGTGTGGGCTTTGGAATCAGGTCAGGAATGAGAGCAAGAGGGTGTTCAGTGCTGTGAGGGTTCAAAGTGGGGCAGAGGGTTGAGGTTTGGGCTTACCTGCATGGCTGCCTGCTGGGGACAGCAAGAAGGGGCCCTTTCCCCTGGCCACTGCAGCTCTGTGCTAGGGCTGTTGGGAAAAGGTTCCCTTCCCTGCTGTCCCCAGCAGCTTCAGGACTTAGGGAGAGATCTCTCTCCCCACAGCAGCTGTGAGCCCTTGCATGAGCTTAATGGGAACCTGAGCAGCATGTAACTTATGGGAAATTTACCCTAAGGAGATCCCAACAGAGGCATGTTTATGATGAAAACAGGAAAAGTTTATTAAATAAAGTGTAGAGGTCCAAGTGACAGAAAGCAGAAGTATTGGAAACAAATGGTTACTCACAAGTTAAAACCATAATATGCATTCTAGAACTTAGATCTATTTTCATATCTTAGAGCAATTTTTATCCAAAATACTTGCCTGTGATCGTCCATTGATGAGACAAGTCATGCTGGCAGCTTGCCTCCTCAGGAAAAAATATCCAGGGTGTCTGTTTGCATCCCCACATAGATCAGAACAATTCATTGTTCATATTTCACCAGCAGGTAGCATCCTGTTTGTTTATGTCTGTTTACTTTGTTATTGTAGATTTTGAAATTTCTTAATCAGCATCTGTCTCAGGATGCAAATAGGTCTCTCCTGAGACACACACTATACACAACAACTAAGCAGGGAGATAATTGTCTCTTCCCCCTGAACACCCTTCCTGAAAGGAAGCCATCCAAGACATGCCACATCCTGGTTATCTGCCTTAGGAATCTAATTTTCAGTCTAAGGATATAGCCCCTTAAATATTATCTGTGTATACTTTTTGCATGTTTAAAAGTCTCAGAGGGCTAGCCATGTTAGTCTGTAACTTTAAAAAACAATGAGGAGTCCTGGGGCACCTTAGAGACTAACAAATATATGTATATAATCAGGGCTCATTGAACCATGGCGAGCCCTGCTCGCCAGCTGCGCTGTCCGGCGATCTGCGCATGCACAAATCGCCTGAACCCGGCTCTTCTGGGTTGCAATCTAATCGCCACAGGCGAGTAGTTTGCATTATTTGTCGAGCCCTGTATATAATATCTCAAGACTCAAGATCATCTCATCTGAAGAAGTGGATTGTGCCCACGAAAGCTCATGATTATATATATATTTGTTAGACTCTAAGGTGCCACAGGACTACTTGTATCTACTTTTTGCAGTGATTCTGATGGCTCAGTTGGCTACTGGCTCTCAGAAAAGGCACCATATGCCAACCTTTAGTGAATTATTATTAGACACATATTTGACCTGGCAATCCATATAAAACTCTACGCACCTCTTGTCCCCTGAGTTGGCACCAAAGCATTTCTCAAGAGTAGGATGTTGGCCTGTCATTCTCCCTGGCCACCTGGAGGACCACTCTTTGTCTGTCCCCTCCCTTTGACCTGTTCAGTTTGGGTGCTCCTGCCAGAAGTAAAAAATGCTGCCAGCATAGCTCTCCGCCACTGGATCACACTGGTCTTCCCATTGCTTCCCACTACATCTCCTTCCCTAGGGACTCACCTGGATGCAGTGGAATGTTTGCGTATGATCCTTAGAGCTATGCCAGAGAGTTTTAACTCCTGGCAGGACCACCCAAACAGGACAGATCAAAGGGACCAGATGAAAAGTAATTTATTGGTCAGGCCTGCTAATGGGAAATGGGGTTGCACAAAGGGGGCAGTTGCAGCAGCCAGAGCTCCAAGTCCCTTTGAATTGTTGCCTGAGTGAAGGACTATGGCTCCGAGGACTGGGGGGGAGGGGAGAATGCCGTGGTCCAGGAAGGCTAAGGGTTGACTGCCCTTGGCCCCACCCCTTCTGCTCTCAGCCACACCCCTTCTTGGGGCATGGAGCCAGACACCCGCCCACATACCTTGCCCCAGGGACTGTGGTGGCTGTCGGCTACTGGTCCTTCAGGGGAGAAGAGGAAAGGAGGGAGGGAAGGAGGGATTGAGCAATAGGCCAACAACCCATTCTTGTGAAGATAGCCAGTCCAGCAAACAACTTGATAGACAAGGATGGCAGAGTCTTTCAGCCCTAAGTGACTGCTGGTGGCACAAATTCATGCTTACAGAGACGTATAGATTTATAGACATGCTCACTGTAACTGAACAAAGGACCCAAAATGCTGGCTGATTAAGCAGTATAGGTGATGAACGGTTCTTTATCTACAGAAACTGATTCTGAGACCATATCTCCCTTTTAGGGGCTGCAAATACTTGTGGATGCATTGTGAACACAGAGACAAGAAGCCATTGGTTTAAAATCTGGCCAAGAAGGTAGACTGTTTAAGTACAAATAGTAAACAAATTTTCCCACAGCTACACTCCTTCTCTATAGTGATCCAATTACTGTTAGACTTGATAGTATCATTTATCTAGATAACTCCTACTGCATATCAAACAATACAAGCTTTTGAAGCTAGCATCAATAAGACTCATGTGCATAGAATTAAGTGTGTGCATAACTGTCTGGAGGATTGGGCCTACGGCTCTGAGCCCACAATGAGCTCAGTGTGGACAGAGCCAAAGCCCCACTGATTTCAGCAGCCCAAGCTGCAGCAGAATATACACAGACATGTTTCTTCTTTCCTGAATCTCTAGCTTCAAAGCATAGGGTGTGTCTGCCATCTTTCCATATCACATGAAAGGACAAAGTTGACCTCGAAGATAAAATGTGTTTATGTATTACTAGGAGCATACTGCTAAGGAAAAACAATAAGAGTGTTGTTTGAACGAAAGCATCAGGAAGGATACAGAGACGCAGTGTCAATTCCAATGTGGTCTTATAACATAGCCCCTTTCATGAGTTCTTCTGGCTGTACCCATGTCCAATCTCAGATTCACCATGGAATTCCAAAGTCGTCATTACTGCTCATGTGGCATCATACCACTAGCTAGTGGTGTTTTGTGATACGTCAAAATAAAACATCCACACACTTCCCATATCTGATGGAATATTTCAAGTTGATTAAATAAACAAAGTGTTGTTAGGTGGAATCCCTGCTCTATCCCCGATCGACTGGCTCTCAGTTCAAAGCCGTTTTTCTGATACATCTCTTCTAGGAAATGTAGCATCAATTAAGATCAGTTCTAGAATGCAAGTCAGGTATTTCACATGCAAAAAAGCAAACATTATAGGGACAAAGCAGCCTTTAGAAAAAACTTCTGCTGTTATATTGTTCATGTAGCTGTATTGAACCAACATTGACATGGCTATAAACAAGTGTTTATGAAACTTACCACACAATCCTTTCCTCAAGTCTGGCAGCTTTATTCAAAAAGAAATACATTAAAATAGGTAAGAAGAGTTGCAATTGTATCATATTGCCAGTTCAAAGGAGATCCATGTCTCCAATGTCTCACAGAGTGCTGCCTGTCTTTTATGTCCCTCATAACAGTCTACATGTTCATATCAACAGCTTGTCCTCCCATGTGTAGTAAACACCAGCAGTAGGAACCTTCTTGTCCCCAAAAATGTAGAAGAGGGTTTCAGAGTATGTTAGCCTCTTTTCTCTCCTCCTATTTTTGAGGAAAATAGCAACAAATATTCCCTGCATATTTTGGATACTGGAAGCACATATAGTGAAGGGTTTCTTTAGGTCATAGTTCTCACGCAGTATGGCTCTTGAAATGCTTGTGGAGAGCAAAGGAATTACGTGACAGGTCAACTGGGCCCAAGAGTCAAACAAACCCACAGAAACTGTCCAAAACAAAACATATCACAGGAAGGTCAGAGAGGGACACAAGGCCTGGAAAGACCTTGACTACCTCCCTCTACTGGTCTCAACTGAACAACTCCAGCATGAAGTAACTGACTATGCCTACACAGCAGAGTTATTCCAAAATAAGAAAGAGCGTGTCTACACAGCAAGCCATTATTTTGAAATAATGTCAAGCTGGAGGACTTCTTACTCTGACTCCTGTAACCCTCATTTCAAGAGGAATAAGGGAATTTGAAGAAAGAATGTTCTTCCTTCGACTTCCTGCTGTGTAGGCAGCACCAAAAGCCAAGTTAAGCTATTTTTTACTTTAGCTCCGCAATTGACATAGCTCAAGTCATGTAGCTTAATTTGACTTTTTCCCTGCTGTGTAGACGTGTCCTCTGATGGTACAGAATAGCAAGGGTGGTGATAGGAGTTCTTGGATGGAAAATAACAGCTGTCAGGGACTAAGCAGGATGAAAATTGGAGGGACCTTACTCTCTTAGCTGTCCCATCCCCCATTCAGATTTCAGTAGGCCTTTGAAAACAAAGCAGGTTAGAAGCACAGTAAAAAGCCCAGAGTTGATTCCTTAAGCTTCAACTATTGGCCATTACAAAGGATCTTTCTTTCTTTATATTTAGGAGAAAGAAAGAAAAGAAAGAACAGCCTGATAAGAAGCTATTTTACCTTGTTACAGCCCTAGTGCAGATAGTAACGAGGAAGCAGCCAACAACAATCATCCATCCCCAGCCTCCATCGGGAGGGGAGGATAGCAGCACTTTCTTTGGTGCTGCCATAGCTTTGATAAGGTTTCTTTGTTCTTCTTTCCAGATTCACTGTAAGAGACCGACTCCAGCTGACATGCAGAGCATGCATGGAATGTTACCTGGTACAAGGGTTATTTGCCATCTGAAACAGAAACACAGCAGGAAGAGAATAAGACTAAATTATCCTTCACCCAATCACTCTAAACTGAATTATTAAAGGGCAGAATATAGCTACTGTTTTATTGCAGAATGTGATGATTTATTTCTAACCACTGTGATTGTGTAACATACATTCTGTGCATTGTGAGAAGCAAATGACTTTGGGTCACATTCTGTTCTTATTGGCTCAGCTATAAGTCAGGAGGAACTCCACTGATTTCAATTTACATTATATAATCAAGAGCGGAATGTGGTTCTATGTCTGAGAGAATTTCTATCTTTAGTATTTGTTTCTGAAATTACAGATAGCACATAATATCACAAAATCCAGTGATAACATATACAGGAAAAATCCTCAACTGTTTTAAATCTCTGTAACTCTTTTAACTTAGAACAACTCTGCTTACACTAACTGAAAAACTCTGATCTCATTTCAATTAAATTTTAAAATTGCTTCCCTTATAATCACCTGTTTTCGCTCACATTAAATTTTCTGAAAACTCCACCTTCTGGGCAGAAAATTTCCACCTACATATTAAGGTGAATATCCCTGGATGTCTGAGCTTTCTTGAGCTATAGATAAGTAGAATTCTCTCCACCCTCCCTCCTCTGAAAAATCCATTAATTTGAGTTATGATTTTTCTGCGTAAGAAGAAGCCTATGGGGAGGAATTCTTATCCATTCCCATGAAAATAGTCAACACAATTTCTGTTCCCCACTTAAATCCCCATTAAGATTCAAAACAGGGTTTAAAGGCAACTCTAGCAGGGCTGGAACTCTACTCTAGACTAAATTCAACCCAAAGGGCTCAGCCCTACAACAAACTTGAATATGTAACTTAAGTCATGAGAGTAGCTTTCTTGACAGCTAGTTGATCATGCAACACATGCTTTCAAGATTGGACCCATAGTAACTAGCTACTATGGTTTTCACCAACAACTACAATATAAGGCAGGGAGGGCTCCACATTCTGAGGCTAAGCCCCACTTATGTTCAGTTTCCTGCGCATGCAGCCTGGCTGTCTGGGCTGTTCCCCATCCCCAGATCCGGGCAAGATGACCGCATAGAGTGGATGATTACTGGTAAAAGTGAGTTGCTTTGTTGCAAGGATTTTGGATTTTTTTCCTGAATGAAGTAAAGACTTCAAACAAGCAAGCAAAACTGTCTGGTATGTGTTTCAATTTTGCTTGGAGAGAACCCTAAAATAGCACGGCTATACTGTCATATTGAAGATGCTGAACATACAACATTCACGCTGACAAGAATCACAGGCAGTCCCAGGAAATGTTAGCTGATAAAATTTGGAAGAAGACTTTGGGGCTCTTTCAAGGTACAGAGTGATAAGCAGCTATCACTATGATTAAATCTCTGATGAGCAATTAAATCTCAATTCACACAGTTCCTCAGTCAAACACTGCACAGAGGTTTGATGCCCAGAGCACAATGGCCACAATCCAGCAAAGTGCCAAAGTACATGCTTAACATTAGTTCTTCCAGATTTTGAATTGTAATATGGAAATGTGTGATCATCTGCAGTTTCAGGCTGTTATTTAATGCAAATGTGTATTAGAAAACCAATATTAAGCAATAAAATAATCCACAGAGAGGCTAAATCTGCATGTCACTACCATGCAAGAGCACAAATTAAACCACGTCCCTAAAAGATGTCTGCCGCAATTCCTGATGTTGATGGATTATTTTTCTATTTAAATATTTCTAAATAATTCAGAGCCATCAAGTTATACCCATTATTATACTATGGAAATGCCTGTTTGCATACTATTACACCCTCCTCCCTCGGACTGTTGGTCACACTCTCTTGTGTCTGGAACAACTAGGAGGAGCAATTGCCAACAAAGTCCCTCTGAGTCCTCATAACCCCGGGCTGGAACATGCTCAGTCACTCTGTGGGTGTATGTACAGTCTGGTCAGCATTAGACGCAATGAGGGAATGGACCTGCTTAATGAGGATAGAATCTGTGTAGATTTTAGCTGTTAATATTGATATTTGCACAGACCATGTGCAACCTGCAAGGCTTATAACTTGATCAGATTTGGGAGGATTTTCCTGGGGAAGACAATAGTCACATCCTTGACATAAAGGCAATCCCCCTGACAAATGTCAACTCCCTGCTCCAAAGCAACAAGCTGCTAGGGCATTTCAGGAACAGTCTCAATTTTTTAATCTGGTTTAAACATTGTGTATTTCCCTAGCTTCTTCCTCACCGACCGAGGGATTTTGGCTGAAAGTTTCAAAGAAAATTCAGCCTCAGACTGACAATTGGCATGGAAAAAATTAGCAAAAATAGCTTAAGTTTTGTAAAGTTATGAGCAACTGGAAACAGAATCTTATAATTGGAAGTGTTGGAAAAGCCACTGTGATAGGCAGTGATACCAGTCCCACTTATCACAGAATAGAATCACATTCAGAAGAAAATGCTAAATTCCTCTCATTGACTTAAGCTATGTCTACACTGCAAGGAAAAGTCGGAAAAAGATACACAAATTGTGAACCATCAACATGGGGCCAAATTGTGGAAATAAGTCCTCTTTCAGAACATCCCTTCTTCCTCTCACCGAAAGGAATACAGGGATGCTGAAAGAACATGTCCGCTTTTTTGGAAACTGTTCTGAAAAAGCAGATGCATTTCTTGGATGTGGTAGAGCTTTTCCGGGATACCTTTGGTATCCCGGAAAAGCTCTGCAGTCTAGACATAGCCTCAGCTTCTTCCCAGCATGTTCTTCATATGGTTTTAGAATATATTCAGTGAACTAGTAAGTAACTTAAATATTGCTTCCTCTGTCCAATACATATTTATTTTGGCATAATGTCAATTTGATTCTTCAGTTAGAAAACTATCTGTTGATAAACAAATCCAAGGTTATTTTTCTAATTATGCCATGCAACTGAATTTCCTTGGGTGGTGGACTCTGCATGCTGTTTTGAAATACACTAATGAGGCAGGCAGCTGTGTGTGACCCTGTGCTCCTTTCCACCACTCCTACCTCTGTTCATGCTCTGATCTATTGCATTTTAGCTTACTCTAGACACTATACTTTTTGGTGCAGTAAGTGTCTTCTTTGTGTTTGTACAGCATCTAGCATGATATCACCATAATGCCAACCGGTCCAACTTATTGTTGTGGTAATACAAATAATGCAGACACAGTGAAACTGCTCTCAGGCATGGGCAAAGGGAGGAAGGGAAACTGCTCTCAGGAAGGGCAAAGGGAAAAGCTCACTAGAGAGTTTTGCACTTTAGAACATTTCTTGAGTAATTTTCATTCAGGCATGAAAATGAGTTGGCCTTCTAATGAGTTCACAGGAGGCTCCAGGGGAAAAGGTAGCAGAAATTCTGCTGATGTGTAAGAAAATTCTCAGCTACTCTGTTTGTCCAGAAGAGGAGTCACTGCTCAGTGAGCTGATTCTCAAATTAATACATTAGGCTCTAATCTAGCAAAATAAATTGCCTGTCAGTTATGTTACAGGTGTCTTCACTATCTCTGGATAGAAAGCAGCAGTTAGCAACAGCATTTTCCTCGCTATATCTTCCCCGCCAGAGAAAGAAAAAGACAAGTTTGCTCAAAGGACACTGCCTCAGTGTTTCCCCTCATCAGGAGATCCCTCTGCTACATGATAAGAAGGCAACAAAATCCACTGCAACCTAGCAACTGGCCTTCACACATAACATGAGCCCACAACCTTTTGCAAAATGGCACATAGCCAATGAAGCACTCACTGCATCTTTCCATCCATCTGTCCTTCCACAGGAAAGATTTCGTTTTGTAAACACTACAATTCAATGACACCATGATATTGCAAATCGCTTTTGTGTTTCAGAAGATATGAGTGGAAATTAGAGAGTCCCTTTTTTTTCTTTTCCAGATCACCTCTTCAACACCAGTGCAGAATTTCTGATTAATAGTACTTCAGAAAATAGCTACCTCTCCCACTGCAGATTTTCAATGAGTCTAGGGCTCCTAGAGGGATATTTGATCTGTGATGGAGAAACAGACATGGGACTGGATTTTGCTCTCTACCAGGATAAAGCTAGAATAACTCTATTAAAGTCAATTATCCTTATCAACCACTGTAGATTTCCCCACTCTGAATTGATTCCCAGCTATCTGGCATTGCAGGCTTCCATAGAGCAATTGCCGCATGCTTCTTCGCTGTCATAGTGGGTGTCATTCTGGTATTCTTGTGCTTAAGGGTGGCAGAAAGCCATTCACAAACTTCCATAAAGTGACCATATGCATACAGAAGTTTTGCAGCCACTGCTGATCATCTCATAGTTGCATGACAATGCAGTCCCAACAGTCTATGCTTGTCTCATGGCACCAGACCGGCATATGACTGTGTCCAGAAGATCAAATGCCAGCGACATTTACCAGTTGCTCGACTCAGGTGCTTCACAAAATAATTATGGCCTCTCAAGATTCATTCTCATTCTGGCAGATCCTGGATACACTCTGGACATACTCCAGCATTAGGCAAATCATAATGCTTGGTGCTCAACAGGATTTGCAATGGATTCATGATTATGCTGCTATGGCATCTGCACAGACAACCAAGGGAAAAAAGGGTGCAAAAAGACTGTTTGCCATTGGTCTTAAGCAGAGGGGAGGGAAATGAGTGCATTATGGGACAGTGACAGCATGTACCAAGAGCCACGTGCTGCACAGTTTTGGTCCCAGTGTGCCCTGGGAGCATAACCTGGCATGCAAAGGCACTCAGGCAGTGTGGGACAGCTACCCACAATGCATTGTTCTCAAAATTGATGACAGCTACCCTAATGTGGACGTGCTACTTCGAACTATGTCAAATTCTTGCACAAAGTGGGGAAATGCACCTTCGACATAACAAAATCGCATTCTAAAAAGTCAACTTTGACCTGATCTTATAATGTACTCATGGCCTTAGGTTCATTTATACTAGGCCCCCTTGGAAGAGTAGAAGGGGCCTTAAAATGAAAATAAAGTA